AAACAAATTTATAAACAGATCTTTAGTGCAAAATTGTTTACAAATGGAGTTATTTATTTTTACCTTATTTTTATTAATATTTTTTCTAAAAATATTGTTTTTCTTAAAAATATAAAATCACTATTTGCATACATATTGAAAGTTCACAACCTTTTGCAAATCTCAATTTATCACACCTTTATATTTTTAATACAAAATCTATGTATCTATCATACATTTGTAAAAATATTTAATATTCTTAATAGAATAAGATTTAAATCTCTTTAATATTTTATAATTTAATTGAATACCTTTAGAGAATATTATATTATAATAACGGATATAATTTACATGATAAATGTTCATAAGCTTTTATTTTTAAGTATACTGTAGGGTACAATATGCGCATAGTCATTTTAATAGATTATTATAAAATATTTTAATTAGATAAAGTTATTATATATTCATTACACATTTTGCACTAAAGATCTGTTTATAAATTTGTTTTTAATCTTAAAACTTGTACTTCAATAACTTATTAAGTATTCACATTGAAACCTATTGCGAAAACCCTAACGCCTTGTTTACTATCAATTTTATTAAAATCCAATATTTTACGCAAAATTCTTGATAAAAACTATAAATAAAATATGATTTAAATATAAATCATTTGACATACATAATGAAAAACATCCTTTGTACAAATAATCCTTACTTTTAAAATATATTGAATATTTTATATGTTATTCTATTGAAGTTAGTCTTGAAATTGGATTAAATGTGAGACTTTCAGTGAAACTTTATTAAAAATATTCCCTATTATATATCACTGCATAAGACTCGTTGGCATCACTTTTCGTATCAAACAAGTGGTGCAAACATTAACAATGAGTTTGTGGTCTTTTTCCATCACTTTGCTTAAAATTCTGTGTATAATAGGCATCATATCTATAGTGTGTGAGACGGGTCCTTCTCGACGCCAATGTGTTGAACTCATCAGTGCTTTACAAATGATGGGCGGTATGTCCCTGATCACTTCATTTATTAATTATATTTATCTATATATTGATTAATTATTATAGTTAAGCAGTGTCATAAAAAATCCTGTTACTATGAGCTATGAATTATATTTTAGGACAAACATCAAAGGGAATGGCAATAAAGCGTCTGTCGATGGAAAATATGCCAAACATTTACACCGATTGTCTTCACGCAGAGGAAGGCATTAGATTCAAGAAGTCTTTGAAAAGACATTTAATGCCCTATAAAATGCGAGTCATTGCCTGATTTTAAACTTACACATCAATCATAGAATTTATTATTGTAATTAAAAATCACCATACTTATA